ACAAATATAAAATGGAAATTTGGCAGTTCTGAGAATAAGCGATTTTTCAACCACAAAGTCAGTGCTGGGATTCTGTTGGCTCTATTTAGAACAAGGCATGGCTTTGGGACAGTGGGAAAGAGCACAGAGAGATACAGCTATGGTTCTGACCACTCGCATCTATTTTAAAATAAAAATATTAAGCAGTTTTCTTCCAATTTCTTCAAAAATACTTTTAATTTTAGTATATTTTAACAAAGTTATAGATACTGTATTGTTTTATATAAAGAGCTATTCCATTACACTTACCTAATGGCTAGTTTATTTTCAATTTGTGACCTTTCAGTTAATCAGCATCTTACATTCATAATCTGAATCACTAAATAAAGCACTAGAATGCTTATTAGAGTCAGAATTGGTAATATAGTTTTCTTTTTAAATTAAGAATACACAATGTTTAGGAACATTCGAAGAATCTGTTCCTCACAAATTGCTTTGTAATCCTCACAGGAAAGCTAAAGTTTCCTCATATAATCAGCTTTAGATTATTGAACGTGCACTGTACAATATCACCTCCTCATATACCTTTTAGATTTATTCAACCAACCAACTTCTTAATGAGCTTTTTGTCTGACATATCTGTGTGGTCATTCTCCCCATCCAATTAAAATCCTCCTTGTAGTTTTTGCAGAGAAATATAGAGGCTATTCAAGTGTACATTCCCTCAACATCATGTCTCTTATCAATTCGAACCACTGGGCCTCCTTTCTAGATCAGAGAAAGAAGAGGCATTCCTCCACGGGCAAATGCATTGTGTAGACTCTGGAATCCATCCTTGCCTCCACCCTCGGGGATTTGAGGAAATCAATTCTCCCTGCATCTGTCTCAAAGCCTCCTGCTTTCCACTAGTTCCTTTCCTCTTAGCACATAAACATGTTTAATCATTTCCTCACTGGGGTAAATTGTTTGGGAAGTGAATGTTAATGCTAAGTAAAGGCAGAATTTGGAAGTTGTAATGATAGGAGATCTGAGAGTGAAGAAAAGATTTGCATTTTATCATTGTCTATGATTCCATTTTTCCAAGTGTCTCCAGAGTATTTCACTTTTTAAAATGTTGATGTTAGAAATCATATAACAAAAAGAACATTAATTTAATGTTTAGACTGAGGATGTATATATTCAATTCAAAAAGGTTTGTTTCCCATTATAAACCTAATTTGCCACTTTAAAAATATTGTCCACTAAAATTAGATATTTCATTACATCAATGTATAACCCTAAAAAGCATATTTCATATAAAAATAGCAGATTTTAAATCAAGTGTTTTAATTAGAGAAACTCATATTTTCTTATTTGGTATTTGTTGTATGATCACATTTCATCACAGATTTAGAAGGACTACTCATAATTCTGAAATCCATAAAATTATATTATTTGAATATTTTAGTACAATATTTAATGAAGGTCAAAAGATTGATATAAAGAAAATAAATCTTTTTCTTCACTATTAGGAAACTACTGCTATCTTTACTAAACTCCAAAAATAAAAGCAGTTTTTAAGATATAGCATTAATTTTAAATTGTGAATACACGTCCCATGGATTATTTGTAACTATATTGCCGAGGATATATTCTCAACTACCAGAAATCTGCATGTTCTCCTTTGAACTCACTGGCAGGAGAAATGGTAGCAAGCCAAGGATAGTGTCATTTATTACTAGGAGGAGGCTCGGAATAAAGCAAAGTTGAATAGAAGGCACATACAGTTGAGTAAATTTACACACACACACACACACACACACACACACACACACACACACCAAATAGTTATTTTACTGATCAAGACTTTGCTTTTAGGTATGTGCTTTGAGTATCCTTAGATTAATAATCCTGTTATATATCTGTGATACTGTGGTCATGAAATTTAAGCTTACAAATGAAGGCTTTGTCATTCAGTAATTGATTTTGAAGTTAGGGTATGCTGCTACCAGTTAATTAAGATGTCTACATTTGATTAGTTTTGTGGTTTCCAGTGCAAATATAAATGTATAAAGTAATGAGCAAATGCCATAGAATGATTTGCTAACTTATCTAATCTTTCTTATTTATAATTTTGGTTTCTTTCAAAAGTCATTACAAATAATGACATGGATGAAGAATGTCATAAGTTCATTATTTACTAGTCAAACTAGTGCTTCTTATTGTTCCTAAAATTAAAGTCAATTTGTCTAGTGTTTCAAAATTTCTAAAATAATTACATTATTTTTATCCCCATGAATTAATAAGTTTGGATCAAATAGTTTTCCAAGCAAAGACTCGATCTTTTCAGTGCATTTTTATTAACATATATTGTTCTTTTCTTAGACATTTTCTTGGTGGGCATCTTTATATTTGCATATACACTGTATACAACTAAATAATATGTAAATAATCTTATCTCTTTTATTTTTCAAAATAATTTCTTTGTATATGTCTCAAGATTAAAAACTGTGTAACATACAGAATCTCAACACATTAAGCTATATTTCTTTAAGTTTAACTCCAGAAGTATTAAAATGTAATTTGAACCTTGAAATATGCTCTTTTCAATATAGGTTCTGGGTGTTGTAAAGTGCATAAACTTTTTTCATTGAAAGATTTTGCATAATGGACATACATTTACTCAAAAGATAAAAACTAATGAACCACTGAAAATTTGTCTGCAGATGAACTTTTACACCAGTTTTTCTGATCTTTCAGAAAAGACCAAGCTGGAGAGCTAATGAAAGTTAAAACTTACAAACAAGTAAGAAATTTACACTGTGCACTTGATTTTCTTTCCTGTTTTCCCCACCCCACTAGATGCCATTTCTAAAAATTATGTAAAATATTATGTAGAATATAGTAAGTAAGTAAGTTAAAGAAATATGATAGTCCCCATTTAGTGACTGTCTTTACCAAAAGTGTGTTTACTCAGACTTGAGAGTGTGATTCTTACTCTTTTAGCTACCTCGCCCAGTCTGGCTCTCTACTGCAGCTGTATTGCTATACTCTTGTTCAAACTTGCTTCTTACTTGCCTAGCTAATGTGACATCTACATAAGGGCCATTCTGCTTTTAGTCTCCCTCAGTCCTTTCTGCACAGAGCTTTATGAAACGTTAATGGGTTCATACTTTCTTCTGCTGAAAAAACCTTCAGTGGCTTTCCATAGCTTTTGAGTAAAGTCCAAGCTTTTGTAATAGTTGTAGTTCACCACATAAGCCATGCTTTCACATCTCTACATCCTGGCTATTGGTTTTTACAACAGGCTTTTTCCTCTCTGGTCCTTTCTGTTCCACTGATTCTATAATTCAGAGGTCAGTGTCCCCACCCTTTGGGTTAGATCCCCTTCTTTTGTCCTTCAAAGCACCCCTTTCATAGAATTTACCGACAGTATGTAATTGCCTGGTTACTTCTTTCTTCACTCTAAATGTCTTTTATCATGCACAGTAGCTGGCACATAGTAGTCGCTCAGTGAATCCTTTTGAATTAATTCATTAATTCATCCACTTAATGGTTTTCAAATGCCCATTGAGTATAAGGCAATGTTCTAGGCACTGGAGATATAACAATGAGCAAACTAAACAAAAATGCATGTCATCTTGGACTTTATATTCTAGTGAATAGAGAAAGACAGTAAACAAAGAGAAAGTAACTTCTGGATGGAGCTCTAAAAAAGGTCAGGCAGCGGGCCAGGCATATAGAGGGGGAAGAATGCCCCAGGCAAGGGGACAGCAAGGACAAAGAGGTGGGCACATGCTAACTGTGTTCGAAGAACACCAAGGAGGCTACAGGTAGGAGCAGAAGATGGGGCTATGGATAGGGAAGGGAGATCATATTTGTATGGCCCTTTAGGTGACTGTAAGCACAATGGTGTTTGCTTTGAATATCATAAAAATTATAAAAATGAATGACTGAATACGTAAAGTAAATCAAATTTTTTTCTATACCTTGATAATAAATAGTATCTCAAAATAGGAATGACAAGATTTTTCACCCTTGTCTTCACCAGAGTAATTCTAACACTATGGGCCTATTCTAATAACCTCTAGATCACCTGTAACTGCAAGGGTGAATGGAGGAATTCAATTCATGGCTTCTATATTAAAACAGCAAAGCAAAAATCATCTTAATTACATGATTGCATTAACATTCAGAGTGCTATGGATGTGGATGTAGGTCTAAGGTCTCTAATGCACTTCAGAAAGCCATCATGAAAACAGTAGGTAGAATTATCAATCCAAGTTAATCTTCAAAGTAGGCAGTTAAGAAATGGTTGCACTTTCCAGTTTGCAAATTTTTTAAAAAAATT